ATTTTTGTAAAATGTCACATGGGTTTATCACTAAGAGACAAGGAGACAACCCAAATACAAGTTTTGCTGTTTGTGAATGAACTGAATAACTGACGTGCAACAGCCAACCACCAAGCAACTTTGAAAGAAGTGATCTGCTATTTATGTAGGTATTTATGGAGCTAGCCGTGAAGTTTATACCTTATGCAATTACTCTCAGTTCATATACTGTGTAACTGAAATGTGAACTATGTTATTGGGGAACTGGTATTATTTAGCCAAACCATAATAAATAAAATGTGTATGTTTTAGAACTGTTCAAAGCAATGGCTGCCTTACTCTCTCATGTAAAGATTATGTAAGGAGAAAGCAGAAGAAAGTGTGGAAGAAAACCAAGATTTAAGGGATGGCCAAAGAAAAGGAACTTGCATAATAACTCATAAAGAGCGGCTAAAGAGGGAGAAGGAGAGCCAGGAGCATGTGGGATCTATCGCACAAGCCAAGAAGGGAAAGGCTGCAATTGTATCTTCCATTTCTTTAAATTGAGATGTAATTCTCTTCGCATAAAATTCACCAGTTTAAAGTATATAATCCAGTGGTTTTTAATATATTTACAAGGTTGTGCAACCATCACCACTATCTAATTCCAGAATATTTTCACCACCCCAAGAAGAAACCCTGTACCCACTAGCAATCACTTCCCCTTCTCCCTTTTTCCCAATCTCTGGAAACTACTAACGTACTTTCTGTCTCTATGGATAGAAAATAGTCTGGATGTTTCATGGAAATGGAAATATACAACATATGCCCTTTTGAATCTGATTTCTTTCACTTAGTATAATGTCTTCAAGGTTTATCCATGTCGTAATATCTATCAGTACTTATTATTTTTTATGACTGAATAATATTTTATTGTGTGGATATACCACATTTATTTGTCCATTCATCAAATGATGGACATTTGAGTTGTTTCTACTTTTTGGCTATTATGAATAATGTTGCAGTAAACATTTGTATAAAAGTTTATGTGTGAACATATGTCTGCAGTTTTCTTGGGGATATACCTAGGAGTAGAATTGCTGGGCCATATGGTAACTCTAACTTTTTGAGAAACTGCCAGACTGTTTCTACAGTGGCTGTACCATTTTATATTCCCACAAGCAAAGTGTGAGGGTTCTTTAACTTTAAAAAAAAAATCTTATATATGACTATTTCCTCTCATTTTGTTCTTCTTGCCCAGTTTCTTATTTCATTTCACAAGCACATTTTCTCCTTCTATCTTTGACTTCTGTATACCACATTTGTTAAAGTTACCTTCTAAGCATGCAAGTAACGTTTCTTCATATTGCAAATCATTCATAGCTTCTTTATCTCATGCTGTATACAATCTATTTAAACTATACAGAACATAAGATCTCTCACATATCTGAAGTCATTTGTCTAAGTTGTTTATAGCCACCACAAGCATTTCCAAAGTTGGTTAAATATGAATAAGAACCCTGACTTTATTTACCTTCCCTTCCTCTTCAATTAAATTTGACCCAATTCAGTACTTTTTGGATGAAAAGTCTGCATAATAATCTCAGTGGTAGGTGGTGCAAAGTGAAGCCAATTGCCTTTTACTTTGAAAAAAATATCTCAGTGTGCCCCACTCCAATGGACTGCCAGACTCTCTACTGAGATGCCAAGCTTCTAAATTTTCCTTGGATTTACTTCCCAACCTCTGGCATGCATGAACCTCTTCAATGCATCTAGGGTGTCTGTCACTTACCACATTCCACACCTATCAACATAGTGCCATTGATGTAGTGGACCAGTCTGATGATCTACAGAATGGCATGATGATCAGTCTAAATTATCACATACACCTGGAATGGAATGTGTCAAAGCAAGCTGCTTCTGGGGCTCTCTGCTTATTGGGATAAGAAAAAAACATTTGTTGGAACAACAACAGAATACCAGGTATCAGGGCTGTGTTAACTTACTCAACTAAAGAGAACATGTGGAATGGCACCTGCATTTAAAATCATCACTTGTTTAAATTTACAGCAGTTCACTGAGATTCTCCAAGACCCATCTGTCATTTGAACAAACCAAAGAAAGTTTTTTATGGGTATATGACAGGAATCACTACCTATATTTGTTAACATATGGGTTCATTTGCTGGAAAGAGGTCCAGAGTGATGCAGTCATAAACAAGACAAAAGTTTATTTCTCGCTAAATGAAAGCCCTTGTAGAAGCAGACTGCAGCTGGTATAGCGGTACTATCAGTGACCCAATTCCTTCTATCTTGTTCCCACACTGTTGCTAAGGCGGTGCCTTCCAGCTGGCACAAAGAGGACAGAAAACAGGGTAGACACGCCACTTCATTATGGTTAACAAGTCCTTGCTGGTTTAAATTCAATATGTTACTTCTCAGGAAACTAATAATATTTATCCAAGGTTGTAAAGAATCATGGGTTTTGATGGCCTTTGGGTAATTTGTGTGAAACTAGGCTGTGGTTTCAGGGTAATCTTTCTAACTATCTTGAAATATGTTCTCAAGCTTTGTCCATCCCCACAACCAGCCTAGTCCAAGTGCCATCATTTCTTGCTAGAGAAACTGCAACAGCCTCCCTTTACCCAACTCACCCGCTCCGCAATCAGATTTCTACACTGTGGTTAAAATGATCTTGTAAAACGTGTAACTCTTAGTAAGTCTTGTTCACTCTCCTTTCAACAGCTCAAAGCTCTTCCGTGGGAAGCAGGCTCTGGGTCCTGTGTTCCCTTTTGCAACCTCACCTCTTACCATTATCCCTCCTCTGCTTGGTGCTACACTGGACGTTTTTCAGGTTCTTAAATGTCCCCGTTTCTCTTGCCTCAGAGCTTTACATATATTCTTCCCATGCCTGAAGGACACCCCCTAGGCGAGCCCCCCTCAGTGGGTAACACCCTTCTCATTACCTTAGAGCTCCACTCACTCAGGGCACCTGCACACATCAGTCTCTGCCAGGATCCTTTGTCCTCAGTTTTTATGGACCAGTGGTTTTTGTTTTTCTTTCCTGCACTTACCTCGAGTCAGAGGGGTGTACATTCATTTGTGAGTGAATCTTATGAAAGTCTATCTCTTTCACTAGATAGAAAGCTTTGAGAAGGCAAAGACTAATGTGTGTTTCTACTTGTCCTTGTGCGCCTAACACCTAGCAGCACAGTGACTGGCACATAGCAGCACTCAGGATAGATTTGCTGAATGCATTTATTGTTCAGTGATGCGCAGGTGGTTTCTGAAAGGAAGGGGCTGAGGAGGCAAGCTCTACCAAAATCAACTGAAGCATCTTTAGAGTCTTTCCTTAGTCTGGTCCTGACTCTCTACATAGCCTCTATACCCCAATATTGTGAACGAACATGAAAATATAGGATTTTTTTTCCCATCACAGATGATCCATTTTGTCCATGTCAAGCCATATGAAGTGGGATCCAGGAGTGAATTCAAAGGAGGAAAAAAGCATGTTTGACCTAATAGAGGGCTGCCTTAAAGTGTATCTCCTCTCCTGTTTTTGTTTTTCCTTGAAAAAAGTTCTCCACCTCTAAGATAAATAGATAAAAGACCAAAATATGCATGCATTTTTCTTTCACCATCAAAGCATTTGAAAGGCTTAATAAATGATGGCTGCACCCTCCTCACCCGTTAGCCACATACCCCAGCACCTCACGACCAGTTTTGAAGAGTTCAGAGAGATTGTAGTCTGCATGGTGTGACTGCAGCAGAGCATGGTGCTGAGTTCCATCCAAAATATACCTCTCTTAGCCTTAATTCATTTCTGAATGTTGGTATTAAGTATTCATTTGTTTTTCTTTGTGCTCTGTGACTTTGCAAGCTCTCCAGTTAGGAGCATCAAATTATGCCTCTCTCTCTCTCTCTCTCTCTCTCTCTCTCTCTCTCTCTCTCTCTCAATTAATTCCTTTCAACAGTAAACATGGACAAAAAAAGAGCATAAAGATATTGGGCCGGCCGAGTGGCGCATTGGTTAAGAACTGGCTTGGGACACCAGAGGGCCCCAGTTCAGATCCCACATATGAGGGCCAGTGACACTGCCCTACACAGCTAAGATGCTGAACAACAGCTCAACCTGGAGCTGGGCTGCCGGTGAGTTGCCTGCGACGGTGTAGGCTGCAGCCTCTGCTGCAGTGGGTTGCCAGGCCAGCAGCCTCCGTTAACAGCTGTCCAGAAGCCGGCGACTGATCTGCCTCGCCCGGAAGAGCACAATGATGGTGCCAATTTGGGCCAGTGAAGCAACGTCCTCCACAACTAGACTGAAGAACAAAAGGACAACAACTTGTCTGTTCCCATCCCCCAATTCCCCAATAAAAAAAAAATCTTAAAAAAAAAAGACACTGAGAGCACCTGAGGGCACTTGGAAAGGTATCATCAGTGGCAGGAAAATAAGGGCATATAAAGGGTTGGTGGGGGACACAGAAGACACCTGGGTCTAATTTATAATCTTGGCAATATTGGTTGTAATCTGCTTCATCAAATAAAAAAGTTTTCAAGGAAAAGGAAAGGGCATGTGTAGAAGCTCATATAGTTACAAATGAGAAGAGGAGAATTTGTCTTACATCAGGCAACTGTGGGTGTCTGACCTCACAGCTTCTTGCCATATGCTAGGATGGAAGGGGTGGCCAATTCCCTTTGCAATGGCTCTTGGCATTTATACTCCTCTCCCTATGCTTTCCTGGTCCCCCTTTTTCTTCCAGATCTAGCTTGCCTGCCTAGGGAAAGGATAACAAGTCAATGAGCTTGTATGATGAAAGAGTCTCAGATTATCAGACCATCTCACGGAGAAGAAAAGATCTCACAGGAGAAAAATAGGTTGAGGTGTTTATTCATAACCTGGGAAGTTGTTGTAAAACATCTAGTCCCATCACAAGTAGGTCCTCTGTTATAACACCATTGTGTGCAAAATACCTAGAGCTTAGGCACATTTGTGTCATTTAGTGTGTATGCATGTGTTTATTTGTATATTTATTATGAAAGTCTCACCTAATCAGGCTGTCCTGGTTGTCCCCAAAAATGGCTTGTCACTGAGTTAAAATAATTCCCCATGGCAGGTGCTCTCAGCAGGTGGCTGCTCACGGTACCTGCATTGGAAAGGTAGATTTAGTCAGAGATTTTATTTTAATATGAAATCCGTATTGCAGCCTGAGCCACTACTGGGTGATGTGCCAAAATTCATGTCTGCAGCATGATTTATTATGTGAAAATACCACAGAACTAATCAGTGGAGTTACTAATTAATACAAATCTGCATTTTTTGCATAAGCAATTAGTGCAAGGAGAAAGCAGTGAAAGAGGAAGTTTGACTCCTTTAATCTCAGTGCCTATTCAAGCGGAAAGACCCACCAGGGCCAAACTCCAAGATCTCCATTTGGAATTTTCCCCCTTTGATTAGTTAAAGACATAAAAGGTCAAATTATCAATATTTAATTCACGTGAAAACATATTTGTTAAAGAGGAAAGAAACATTTTATTTAAAGAAGGTAAGACTCTAGAGGTGAATTCTTGAATTAAAAAAATATATTTTCCATTACAGCAAAGTCTGAATAAAATTTAATAAGGATTCTGATTGCTTATAATAATGATGTTTGAAAATTAGATCAATAATTGGAAGAGGGTATAGGGTGTATGTTTCTAAGATCTTTAAATTACCAAAGGAGATATTCTTCTCAGAGTCACATCTCTACTAGACTTTTTCTAATACATTTTGGACATTTCTGTATTAAGATGCAATATTTTAAATCTAGTATAATTTAGATAATTGTGTGGCTCACCATATCTGAGCAAATATGCCATTTAACTTTAGCTGGTTTATTCTCCCATTAATTTAATAGAAATTATTTGTAATATAAAATAACTGGACAGCTGATAAGATGATGGTGATAGAAAAATATTTATATTATCAGTAAAATGTATACACCATAAAACAAAAGCAAAATAAAAAATATGTTTAAATATTATTTCTGTGGACAGCAAATAAGAGTTCATTTTGGTCTTGAAGCTGTGTGGCAAATCAATGCAAATGTTAGAAGGACTATCTTTCTGAAAGTTATTCAATATATCATTTCTTTGTTTCAAACTCACTAGCTCAAATTATATAGTTTAAGCCATTCCTCCACACCCCTAAACCTGAATATCTAGTTTTCCAGGAAACTTATTCTGAAAAGAAGATGGCTAACCAAATACAGATTAACAGAGCTCTCTGCTTAAAAGTTCAGATATGGTGGTCAGTCGTTTTAGGAAAAAAGGCCAGCAGGAAAAAGTGAAAGCTGCTGGACAGGAGTTGTTTTGCTGAATCTTAACCCTGCGAATTCCAGGGCCAGGGTAGTGGGAATTGTCCAGGGTGCTGATACCTTGAGGAAGCCATTTCTCCTACAAGCTGCCTGGCTTGCAGGGCTCCTCTTGCCTTTAGGAACTTGCGGGGTCTCCTCCCGCAACCCACTACAGCAGCCGTTGTTCAAAGGATACAGAGGGGGCAGTCAGTGTGTCTCCCCTCTCCGCACCGGCAGCTACAGCCAGTTACAGGGGGTTTGTGTGTGTTGCTTTCCGAGGCAAAGGTTGGCAAACACTGAGCACTTGTCAGTTACCCGGCCCTGCGATCCCCTTTAGACTGCACACTGTTCCTCAATCCCGGAGAAACAGGTGCGCGCCCTCCGTTTAGGCTCCTCACCGGAGAGCAGGAGCGCCCAGGAACACACACTCACTCATGCACACTCACACCTGCACACACTTGCACTCATATAACTCACACCCACACCGACACTCACTGACACAAATCGTATACACATTTCATACACACGAAAAATCACACACGCTCATACGTTCATTATACACACTCCCAGTCACACACAATCTCACAAACGCTTATACACTCACACTCAGATTCACACACTCTTGTATACATAAGCACGCGCACAGTCACACACACAGCCCATCTGACGCACGAGGCCTTGAGCCATCATGTACGTGACCTGCGCCTGCCAATGTTCAGAGCTGCGTTGATTTTACGTTGTTTATATGCATGTTGGATGGTTTAAGGAAAGCCCCTCCACTCCTGACCCGGATCAGAGAAGTCCCTCCGAAGACCTGTAGGCACCATGAGGAGCGCCACCCAGGTCCCAGAGGGATCAGGAGGGGGCAAGTAATAAATAAAAACAACCCAGGCAGGCGGAGTGGGGAAGTCCGGTACTAAATCACTCTCCAAATCACAGCCACGTCGTGCCCCATCCAATAGCTCTAAGCGATTTGTGGGATTGGGGGTTGGAATCACTGTTTTTTTCGTTCTCGCAGGTGCAATATGAATCAATTATCTTAATTAAGATTATGCCGCAAGCCCAGGAGATTTGGAGAGGACGGATTTTTCGCTCGGGGCGACGACGAGGCATTTTAATAGCCTCTCTCTTGCTCCGGGCTCTCCCCTCCCTCCTTTCTGTCGAGGCCGGGCAGTTCCAGTCTCTGGCCATGACCCGGGCTCCAGTGGCCTCCCTGGAGGTGGAGGCGCAAACCCGGAGCGGTGCCCGCGATCTGGGCGGAAACAGCAGCATCGCCTTCAGGCCTCCCGAGTGCTTCTGAGCTACCGGCCTATGACAGCCCTACAGCTCTCGGCCCTCGGCCTCTGCGGCGCCGGCACTCTACGGTCTCTCCCGCCCCTCAGTCCCCTCTCGACCCTGGAACAAGCTCAAGCCAGGATAGCCCCCTACTGGGAGGGGCGGGGAGAGGACGCGGGAGCCTCTCGAGGCCTGTGGGGCCGCCCTGGCCACACTTGATTCTTTCCTTGAACGCAAGCTTCCCTTTGCAAGAGCGAGCATCTGTTTCCCCGCGAAACGGGTCACCACCAGGGACGCCAGCCCGGCCCCAGCTCTTTATCTTGGCCCTGTGAATGCGTCGCACCCCCGTCCTCCCGCCAGCTACACGCTTCCCACATCATAAGTTCTGGCCACACGCCTCCACCCCCGCCCCCCTTTCTCCTCAACACACACAGTGCTACACGCCTCCTTTCCCCCCACTTCCCCGCACCTCCTCCCCACCCCCCAGCCACACGCCTCCGCCCACCCCCCTTCCGGCCTGCGCTCCGGCTGCTGCTCTAACGGCCGGGACCGCCCGGCCAGTGCCGCACGCTCTGAGCGGGGACCCGGGGGGGCGACAGATTTGGGGCATTGCTCGAGGGCAGTCAGTCATGAAAGCGGCTTTTGTTGCCCGCGCGTGCGGTTCGCGTGCCGCGCAGCAGCCTGCAGCGCCCAGTGGGGACTGGAGCTGGAAAACCCGGACCGCTAACGGGGAGCGGGAACAGAGAGCGAGAGGGAGTGAATTTAGGAAATCAGGAGAGGGGGAGACTGTATAACGGTCGAAACAAAGTTCAAAAGGGGAGAAGAAAATAAGGATGTGGGGCGAGGCAGCGGCGACCCCTCAGTAAAGAGCCCCACAGCCCCCGAGCAGTCCTCTCCCAGCGTTCAGGCCGTTGCAGTCTATAGCTCCACTTTTGGGCCCACTTTTTCACTCTCTCCACTCCCAACAAAAAACACCTCAATTTAAACCTAATCTGTACTCCTCCCTTCCGGGCCTGACTACCTGGCTGCAGCCTCCCAGGAGTCCAGCGTGCACTGTGTGCGTGGCGATGCGCCCCGCTGTGTGTGGACGCGCCCTGCTTGGGGGCGGGGAGACAGAACCTCGCCAGGTCTCTGGAATACCCGAGAATGGCCTTTTCTATGTACAAATCCCCAGGCCTGGGAGAACGACGGGAGTGGGATTACCGGTGAATTTATCAGGAGGAGAGGGAGGAAACGGATATAATAATTCCCGCACTTTCCACTTTACAGTCTCGGCTGGTGAAACACCAGGGTTTCCTTCCAAGCCCAGGAACATCTGGCTCCTCAGAGTTTCCTGTATTCCACAGGATGTTGCAAACTGGGGAAGTTTCTTCTTGGGGACCGGGTGGTGGTGGTGGTGGTGTTCCAGCCACCTTCTGGCCTCCGAGGCAGGTGAAGCCCTCTTCCACCCTGCCTCCCAACATCTCCTCTGAAGCTCCCTTCCCGTGAGACTGAGAAATCAGAGCCAGGACAAGAGTTCCACATCCCCTTTGTGCAGAGGGCTACCACGTAGGGGGTGCTGCTGGAAGGGTGGCAGCCCTTGGTCCGGTCCTGCTGCAAGAGTCCTCGGATATCCGAGCTGTGGACCGACCTCTGCAGGCTGTTACCTCGATGCCCCCTCGAGTTTTAACCCATCACTGAAGATACAGATGGTACAGAAAGAAATCCTGAGACTAGGCTCTTGGGTGAATTCTTTTATCCTCCTTTGTGCCCTCAGTACACCAACGAGTGCACACAGAAAAGCAAAACCCCGTAGAGTTTGCCCTGGAAACTCAGAACGACTCAGGTCACGCTTTGGGCAACGGGTTAGGCCACACATCCCTTTATTTCCCTTTCAGATTTGCGTTGGACGGGGAAGGCTGCATCGCCGCCTTCCAGACACCAGCGATCTCATTAGTAACCTCTTCCCCTCCCCACAGCATCCCCCCTCTGGTTCCCAGATGCACCCAGCTCCAGCCGCTCAACCCTGACACTGTTTGCAAACTCAAGGGGCTTTTAGAGCAATTGCCTTTAAATAAGCATTCAAGTTTGAAGCATTCATTGCAAGGTGCTACCTGGGGAGGAGAGGATAAGGGGTTAGTTAACCGAGGAATAGAGGTGAAGCTGGTGGAGAAAAACTGGACAGGGAAGGGGTCAAGCCAACCTTTTTAAAAAATACATCATTCTGTAACACGCCTTGATGGGAATGAATGAATAAAGAATCGCCATTTAAACACAAATATGGCTCCTTTAGAATTAGTCGGGAAGCTCAGCGGTCCTTGCATGACCCACAAGGTGGAAGTTTCATCAAGTCGTTCTTTGAGGTTTGCAAGAGTGGTGGCCATCAGCCCTACCCAGAGTTGTGCAAATGGCCTTTCTTTAGAGAGGAGAGAAACAGACTCTTTTTAGCACAGGCCCTTTGCATATTCCCTTTAAGAAGTCTTTTCTGAACTAAGTACCTACTTACAGGCCCAAGAGTGGGGACTAAGGGGGGTAAGGCAGCCTGTGGCAGGAAAACA